TCAACTTCCTAGGATGTTAAAAGAGAGAAGTAGAAAGAGCCATCGCACACGGCTGTCGTAAGGATAAGGTGAGCTCGAGCATCTGCGTGCTCAGCACCAGGACACCCAGCAAGATGTGCGAGGTCCATAAACGCTGCTGCTGTCCTTGACCCACACTGTTTTCTATACATGAAGATGATGGCGCAGGGATGGTCATCACACCATTGTTGGTAAAAAGGAAAAGCTAAAATGCAATGAAAATACCTAATAGTAAGTGATTCATTAAATTCTGACACATCCACGCTGCCTTTAAAAAGTGTTATGGAAATGTATCTATTTCTATAGAAAGATGTTCACAATGTATGATTAAGCCGAAGAAGATTTACAAACTATTCTGCACTACGTGATTCACTTTTTCTTTAACTATATATACATATGCACAGAAAAATACATTGAAACATAGACTCGAGTCTAAGATATTAAGATGGTTGTCTGTAAGAGAAATTATGGATTTTTTTTAAACCTGTGTTATCTTTGGCTTTTCACATTGAATCTATATTGTGTTTACAATAAGCAAAAGAAAATGATTTTTTAAATGGTAAGATCAGTTTTAAACTGCAAAGTCTTCCTTGAGAAGTCATAGGTAAATTTTATCAAGTGATTATCAATTCCCTCACATAAGAATTCCAATTAATGATGCATAAGGGGTGAGGGGAATAGAAAATCATTGATCCAGACAAGACCCACCAACGGATGCTAAAATTCACAGGTAAAAGCTTGAGAAGAATATTTGTATGGTCTCAAAGTATCTCCTTCCAGATAATTATTAATTACCAAGAGGAAAACAGTAGCTTTACAATGAAAAAGTCTGGACCAAGGTTAACATTACCATCAATGAGACACATCAACACCGTGAACCCTCTGATATGATGTCCTGTGTGAGAAGCACATGTCACTTTTGTGGTATTCTTGCCCCCCAAAAAGCTGAACTTCCCTCTTGCCACGAGACTACATCATACAAACTCAAATTGAACAACAGTCTAGAAAATACCTGACCAGGTATCTTCGAGAGTGTCAAGGTCATGAAAGGCAAGGAAAGGCCAAGAAACTGTCACAGATTACAAGAGACAAAGAAGACAAGACACTAAGTGTAAGGTGAGATCCTGGACTGGCTCCCAGAACAACTAAAACACATGACTGGAGGGACTGTGGAAATGCAAATAAAGTCAGTAGTTTAGCTAATGGAACTGCCCTATCAATGTCTTGTCTTTGATTATTGTTAAATGGTTATATAGGACAGAACAATAAAAGAAGCTGCACACAACGTATATGGGAATTCTCTATACTATTTTTGTAATTTTTCAATGTCTAAAATTATTTCAAAACAAAAGGTTTAAATAGAAAGCAAGACTGGAGAAGCCTAGGTACTTGGGATTAGGTATTATTGGGGAAGTCCTCAAGAGGGCCCAGACAGGAATGGTCGCAGTCCTATATTTCCTTCTTATATTCGAATAGAAAATATTGCTTTTGCAACTTGTTAGGTTCAAACAAACACAGGAGAATGTAGCATGTCAGTTTCCAGCACATAACCACAGAGAACATTCACAGGTATTATCAAAATTCAACATTTCTCTTTTGAAACTCTTCAAAAACCATAGTTTTCCCATTCCAATTCATTAGTACAATTTTTTTAAATCTCAACAATATTTTTCATGTCATATCTGTGAATCAATAAAAATTAAAGATCAAAGTCCTTTGAGTTTTAAATATCCCAAAAATTATCTCTATGATTGCCCATTTCTTCTGTTGGTCCTTTTAAAACTGAATATGAAATGTTTGTATCCTCAGTGCCTATTAAATTGGTATCTGATGCAGAAAGAAAATCACCAATCTAGACCGGCTAATAGACCTCAAGCCTCCTAAGGGAACAGAGGTTTAATCTCTTATTTTAAGTCTCTTGGCAACTAAAACAAATAGCAACTACAAACACAATTAAATGAGTTGGAGTTTACTATGTTTACTTGTATTGTTTCACTAATCCTCACAACAACCCTAAAGGGATACTATACCATTTCCATTTTACAGTTGACAAAACTGAGGCTTAAGGAGATAAATTAATTTTTTCAAGATCACAAAACAAGTGGCAAAATTGGGTCCCAGTTGCCAGATGCTCTGATTTACTGTTTGTTTTCAATACTCTTGTGAATATTCATTGATGAATGCCCAGGGTATTAGAGGTCTACCTAGAAACTTCTGTAAATCCTAAGCTGCTGGTTAAGAATGGATGCCTATCCTATATAATAAAAGGCTAATATGCAAATAGATCGAACAGCAGGACAACGGTCAATGTGACATGCACTAACCACCAAGGGGCGCACACGGAACATGGTGGGCATTGGCCACGGCAGGATGGTGGAGGTGAGCGGGGGCGCCAGACCAAGGCAGGGTGCCGGTGGCTGTCATCAGGGTGAGCCTCTGGTGGTTACTGAAAATTCTTTGCTCCTGTGTGCTGCAGTCCTGCCCAGCGCTCACACCCACTGCCAGCGCCCGGCGCTGGCCCCGGTCACCCCTGAGGGCTTCTCCACCTCCTCCTGCTCCTGAGGGGTGATCAGGGCAGCAGCCATTGCTCATACCCGCTGATGGCACATGCTGCTGGGCACCGGGCCCAATCGCTCCACCTCATCAGCGGGTGCAAGCAGGGCTTGTGTCGTCAGTGCGTGGGAGCAGTGGCAGCAGGAGACCGGAGGCCACAGTGGGAGGGGCTGGGCGGGGGCTCAGAGGATGGGCCAAGACCCACCCCTGTGCCCACCATGGCCTCGCGGCCCACAGTTCCTTTCAAGGTGCACGAATTTGTGCACTGGGCCCCTAGTCTATATATAAAAAAGCCTAAATGACCAAACGACAGAACCACCGGTCAACCGGTTGCTATGATGTGCACTGACCACCAGGGGGAAGACACTCAATGCAGGAGCTGCCCCCTAGTGGTCAGTGTGCTCCCACAGCCAACCTCCTGTGGCTGGCCAACCTCCCACAGTGTCTCCCCCCCCCCCCCCCAGGCCGACTGGCCCCAATGACCCTGATTTGGGCAGGCCAGCCATCCTCCCCCACCCGCTCCCCGCAGCCGGCCCAATCAGCCCCAATCACCAGCCAGGGCAAGAGACCCCACCCATACATGAATTCATGCACCGGGCCTCAAGTTGCATATAGGAGCCTGCTGGCATAGTTCACCCTTCCTACCTTGCATAGGTGAACAAAGAATATATAGCTCTGATTAGAACAGGACAAACAAAAACTGCACCATTAAAATCAATTTAAGGACCCAATCGGAGCTCACTGATCTAGGATTTCTCCTTAGCTACACAGAGAATCAGTTTACATTTTAATATGCAAATTTTCAGTTGGTTTCAGATGAACACTAGATTTTTTAGTCACTATCATTCCACATGTGGAGATTTTTCCTACAGGGACTATACCACCTCCTTGTGGGTACTTTTTTCCCTCCTATAAACCATGCTATACACATCTGCCAGATTAATCTTTTTAAAGTTTTCACTACTTCATTCCTCAGCTGAAAAACTTTAAATGGCTCCATATTGCCTTTAAAATAGTGTCTAAATTCCTCAACAGTCTGGCTCTAAAGCCTCTTTCCAAAAAAAATTCATCATTACTTGCAACTAAAGCCTCAATGTAGAAAAGCCTCAGTTCTCAATCTGTGGGTCACGACCTCTTTGGCAGTCAAACAACCCTTTCACAGGGGTCGGCTAAGACCATCCTGCATATCAGATATTTACATTACGATTCATAACAGTAGCAACATTACAGTTATGAAGTAGCAACGAAAACAATTTTATGGTTGGGTCACAACATGAGAAACTGTATTTAAAGGGCCAGAAGGTTGAGAACCACTGGTGTAGAACATGGGACAGAGCAGTCCCTTGGCTATCCTGAGCCAGGGTGGTCACCCTAGCACCAAATTTTGGGGGTCTCATGGTGATGGACAGTAACTCAGAAAGGCAACTACTAATGAGGAGATAGCTCTCTCTTCCATCATTCATTCATCTTTCACACATTGATTCACTCATCCAACAAACATTTATTGAGAACCTTCCAGGTTCTCTACCTCTAAAGATAGAACAGCCAGGGAGAGAGACATACAAACAAATAATTATCACACGCTAAAATCAGCACTATGACAGAAACCAGCAGAGTGGGGAAGCACGGGGAGGAAACAGCAGACTCTGCCTGGACAGTCAGAGATGGCTCAGGGAGGAAGTCACATGGGATCACTGAAGGATGTAAACACTGGAGATGTCCAACCCACCAGCTGTTGCATAGGCTAACTAAGAATATATAGCTCTGCTTAGCCCACCAAAGTAAATGCAAGTATGAGCAGAGATATGAGTAGCTTTACTTTATATATAGGAAGAGTTGGAAAAGGACAGGTCAGGGTTTTCAACTAAAAATGGGTACAAAATCACTGCATGAGGACACCCCAAGTTGCTAACCATTGTTTTATTGACAATAACAAGTTCTTTCCAGGGGCCTTTCTCGGCTCCTCAGTTCCCACTTGCTTGTGGGTAAATATCCACCTGCTATTTCACAGGACTCCTGCTCAATTGGCAACTAGCCGCCTGTAGGAAACAAGATGTTATGTTCAAGTGTAACTATTTTTTCCACCCCCATCTTATCACTAAGAAAAAGACCGAGTAGAGAAAATATATTCTTAAAATAGATAGCTTCTTTAAAAAATAAAAACAAGCAACACCATATAAAGTTAGTGCTGAGGATTGTTTCCTAAGGTGTCAGCTCAAGGACAGTGAACATTATACAATGTTGATTGCATTTCACAAAGCCACTAGAGCAGACCTATTCAAATGTTAGTGATCACTTCTTTTTTTAATATATTTCTGTGGATTTCAGAGAGGAAGGGAGAGGGAGAGAGAGATAAAAACATCAATGATGAGAGAGAATCATTGACCAGCTGCCTCCTGCATGCCCCACACTGGGGATCAAGCCCACAACCCAGGGCAGGTGCCCATGACCGGAATCGAGCCTGGGACCCTTTAGTCCACAGGCCAACGTTCTATCCACTGAGCCAAACCGGCTAGGGCTGGTGATCACTTCTTAATCAAATTAAAGAATTAGCTCCCTGAATTCCCACTCTTGAGAGTGCTTTTTTATTTGAAAACTTTATGGTCCTTGGAACTTTTGAGACTCTTCAATATAAAATTTCCATAGTCTCAGAGCTGGGTTTCTGGGTCAGCTGGATGCTGCCGCACTGCTCAGTTCAGGGTTGACTGGACTTGCCAGAGGACAGGAACACTGGAAAAAGAGTGCACATGTGATTGGATACACACAGGAGTAAAACCACCCTAACTGATAAAGGGAGAAAAACAAAAACATCAAGCTATACCTGGTTAAAGGGCAGCGCAAAGAGAGAGAAAATCCTAAACCAAAGACTAACTAGTACAGTTCCAGGTGCTTTGGAGTAGACAAGATTTGCCCATGAGGAGTGGGACTGTTGTGTATAGCCTGCTAAGTGAATCCTACTTCTAGAGACCCTATCTCTATTTATTTGTTAACACTCATGTTATCAAATTAAACAAATAATTTTTTTCATCTAGGAAACATTAAGGTTGTGACACGGGAATAAAAACATAGTGTCTCATAGATGTAGCAGATTAAGGCCCCAAGTGGTTCCATAACCTTCCCATAGTCCCAAAAAACTTAATACCATGAGAAGTAGCATAGCAAACATTTCCGGGCTGGGGGTGGAAATTTCCCTACAGGCAGTTCTCATCCAGGGCATTTCTCTGAACTTCAAAGAGGAGGCAAGCGATGCTTGCCAGGAGCATGTAGGTGTTCCCTCTAGGTCATCATAAAAATTATAACAAATCATAACAATTTGGAATTGAAGAAAATCTAATAAAGTTCAACTCCTTCTTTATACAGATGAGGAAGACGGGGCCTCAGGGAATGCAGCGACCTCGTTGAAGTAATGCAACTACCAGAGTATATGAAAAAGCCCAAACTTACATTTGAGTTGTCTGATTCCAACTTCAAACTTATCTCCAACTTAAAAAAAAAGAAAGAAAACCATAATGAGCAACAATAAGAAAAATAAAATCTCTACTTTTTCAAAGCTAGCAAACACAATCTCTACTTTTTCAAAGCTAGGGAGCATTCTTATGAATATCTACATGGAAACACCAGCCTTGGATTTACTTTCTTGAACTAATCTACAATCCCTGGCTAGCATGCTCCTTGGTGAGTACCACTTGTCTGCTACCTGCTAGGGAAAGTGAGGATTCTTTTCACAACTACAATGGGAGCTGTGGCTTTAGCTCTCCAGGAATACTTCCATATTCAATGCATCCTCATCCTTCTTGGTTTTATCAACTCACCAGATAAACTAGAAAATATCCTTCTTCTCCTAAGAAAATCTCTCTGAGGTTGCCGCTTAGTGCTTTGAAAGCACTTTGAGGAAAGAGCAGGAATAAAAGTCAGTCGGAAGACAGCCAGACCTCTAGCAGAATTCTCTGAGCCCACGTGCACATGCGCAATGCTTCCTGGGCTACCGCAGCTGCATATTTGCTCTTGTTTTGGACCTGTTTTCATATCCCGGCACCTGCTTCAGGGCCTCTGCATCCATGAGTGCCTATCCTGGTTGAACACATGGGAGGTTGTCACCCATCTGCATCTGTCATCCCTAGCATGAGCCTCATTTCCTCTCAGCCACCTGCCTCACATTTCACTTCTTGCCAGACTTCCGGTTACCACTCCCAGTGGCTATTCCTAATCTGTTCTAGGGTGTGAGGGATAACCAAGCTCCTAGAGCAGAGGTTCACCCACATGTGGCTTTTCCTAGAGCAGTTAATTTTTTTAATTGAGTCAGCACATTTTTTATTTTGTTCAATAAAGACATATTTAAATGATGCTAATAGATACTACCATCTAGAGTAAGCATCATTACTATACTTAATAAATGATCACTTTTGCAGGGTCTGGGTTTTTAATAAATTGTATTTTAACTCAAAAAGACTAAGAAAGGTACCCTGGCCTATGTTGTTCAGTTGGTTGGAGTGTCATCCCATACACTGAAAGGTCATGGGTTTGATTCCCTGTCAGGGCACATACCGAGGTTGTGGATTTGATCCCCAGTCGGGGTGCATAGGGGAGGCAACTGATTGATGTTTGTCCAGGGAGATCAATAAGAGCATGTCTTTGGGTGAGGATTTAAAAAAAAAAAAAAAAAAAGACTAAGAAAGGCATTATGTTGTTATTTCAAATTAACTTGTCAACGGATTTAATACATTGTTCTTCATTTTCTTATGTCTCCTCAATTGGGTGAAATTTTCATCATAGGCCTGCATTTGGGAATAACTGCCCTAGGGTTCAGAGGTCAAATATCTTCAAGAGCCAGGCCAGTAACAAATCACTGGATCAGCACACAGGGCCAGGACAGTGTAAGGAGAGTGAGGTATTGGCCTTGGATCTAAAATTTAAGAGATGCCAAAAAAACTCAGTAATCAAGATAACTAATATTTTAATATAGCAAAAGTAATGTAGAAATCTATCTATTTTAAACAAAAATCTTCTATAAAGACAGGATCAGTATTATATTGATTTTTCTTTTTGCAACAACTCTAATGTGACTTTGGTATTACAACTGCATGAATGAAACCCATGGTAGCAACAGTGGAAATTAAAGAGTACATAACCAGAAAGTGTTCACATTGATTATAAAATACCCTGTTGACTGAAGATAGGGTCCTATGTGCCTTCTCTGGCCCTAGTGTCGTCTACCAATTCATGAGTATCAAGCGTCTCAAAAGAAGACTTAGTCTCAGAAATGTAGGTAGGTCAAGGCAGACTAACCAGAGTTTTCCAAAAGGAACTGATAAACTTCATGCAGAATGAAGGGTCATCTTAAAACTAAAAGACTCAAGTCTGAAAATTCTCTAAACAAAGAGGAAAACAAGGCTGTCCCTTAAATGCCACTGTGGGTGCCAAATGGCGGGGATAAAGGATCAAGGCCACGAGCTCAGTCTAGGGACCCGATTTCGATGAAGGCAAGAGGAGTCAAGGTCTTATGGTGATATTCTGACTCTCTTCCTATACCTGAAAGGAAAAAAGAGAGGCAACTAAAAAGGGCAAACTATATCTACCTGAAAAGCACTGAGACTATAAAGCCATTCTGTGGTCTAATCTTAATGGTTCACATTTCTTGAGCACTCCCATTACTCAGCACTTTATATACATTATCTCATTTCCTACTGATAACATCTCTATGAGGAATGCATTATCCTTTTTCCATGATGAAGAAACTGAGGGTCATTGTAGTAGAGCTGGGATCTGAATCCAGGGAGTCTGAGTCCAGAGTCTGCATGCTTAACCACTCACTAGACTGCCTCTTAGGAGCTAAGAGAAGTAGGAAGCACTTGCCCAAAATAATATTGATGGAAGGGTGTCTGGAGAGTATGCAAATATGTCAATTCCCCCAGACAATTCAAATTTCAGCTTTGGATCAAGCAAGAACACTAGTGAACTATACAATCATCATCTTGACATTGAAGGACATTATAATCTAACACTGAAAGACAAGACAAATCTCACACAAAGATGTTGTTGAAAGCATCATCCACTACCTTGACACAGTATCCTTTTCACCAAGACCCGTTTCCTGTTACTCTCAGTATCAAGAAAAGCTGAATTCTCCTAAATGGTCACCTTGTTTACAAATATGAACAGAGTAAATTATCTTCCTCTTTGATTTCCATCTTTGTTATGGCTGCTAGAAATTGTTAAGCTAAACTTATATCCCCCATCCAGAAACTCTCCAGGACCATACACCTATCATATGCCTTTTCTTATACCATGCTCATTCTTTGCTTTATTAGTTTCCTACCTACATTCTACTTTGGTCCTGATTTCCACAGCTCTTTGTTGTATCCTTTCTTTCATTTAGTACACTGTTGCTAGCTAATCTCTTCTGGACTGAGGTGTTGAATGAATAAATGAATAATAGTCAAATAATCAGTTGTCCTTTTTTAATGAATTGAAAGAGATTCATAACACCTACTCATGTTCCTGAATCCCAAATTAGAGGACTTGAAATACTTGATCATCAAGGCAGTGCCTGTGGGAACCCTATTATCAATAGAGGTGGCAGCAATACAGTAACTAACAAAGCCATGGTATGAGTGTGAAGGGTGAATGATGACTTCATATTAGCAAAGAGAGGACCATGAATGCTCCCACAAAATGCATTGGAACCACCCTGGGAACACTGTCAATGAGAATTTTGGAGGACCAGGTTTCCATTTATGAGGTTGGTAAAGGCTTCAACCTGAGATTTCTATTAGCATAATCCACACATGCTTGAGTCCATCATTGTGGGCTGCAGTGTCCTGTAAGATATGATTATATACATTGCTTCACTGTTTGTTTCACTGGTAACTCTAAATCATAATTACACTTTTAGGTACAAAGTTTAATCCCAGGTCTACAAATCATTAACTTATTTCACTTTTGAGGAATTCCAAATGCTGCCAAAGCTACCCCTATTCCAGTCATTCAAATCTTTAGTTATGACCCAATCCAATAATATAGCCCTAGCAAAGCCAGATTAATTAGTCTGTTCCAAATGGTCAACAGAAGAGAGGAATGTCCAAAAGGAAGATAATTTGCCTGAAGAGGAATCATAGGAGAGGAGATCCAGTTAGGACTTTGAGACAGTAGAAGCAAATACACTCTAAATTCTATGTTTAAGGCTTCCCCTATTGGATCCTGATTGACAGACTGATTGAGCATGTTGTCCCTTGTCTGGGCACTGATTTGGAGCTTAATGATGCATGATCATCCCAACACTTTTCCTAAGTGACTATACCTGCCATAAGAAAATGCCCTGTGTTCAGAGCACCTTTTACTTCTGAGATGGGATGCTACTCAATTTGTGAATTGCTTAATGAAGACATTTAAGACTTCCGGTCAAGATGGCAGCAAAGGTAAACACAGTACTCAAATCCTTCCCACAACCACATCGAAAATCACAACTAAACTACAGAACAACCATCATGCATAATTACCTGAAATCTAGCTGAATGGAAGCCCTATAACTAGGGCTTTAAAGATGAAGACACATGGAGACTGGTAGGAGGGGTAGAAACCAGAACAGGCATGTGGCAAATAAAAATCTGAACAGATATCTCAGCCTCAGAGTTCTCCTCTAAGGAGTGAGGGGTCCCGAACCAACACCACATCCCCCAGCCCAAGGTTCCCATAACTTCTGGCTGTAAAAACCAGCGAGGATTGAGGCTAAAGGAGACTGAGGCTGCAGGAGTCCCAGGCGTTTCTCTTAAAGGACCTGTATACAGACTTGCTCAGATTCACTTCCTCTGCGCTCCAGTGATGGGGCAGCATCTTGAAAGGAATCAGGGACACAGGAGGAAGATCTGAATTGTCTGGCATTAGGGCAAGAACTAGATGGGGGCAGCTTTCTGCCAGCTCAAAGTGCTGGCAGAGGCCACTGTTCCTTTTCTTAAACCTCAGTATGCTCTGCATCAGGCCTCAGTATGCCCTGCACCACTTGCTAAGTGGCCCCAGGCCTGGCACTCACAGCATCCAGCCTTGGTTCACAGCTTGGCCTCTCCTGGGCACATCCAAGCCCAGCACAAGTAGTAGCAATCTGCAGATCTCTTTGTAGCTCATGTTGGGTGGCCCCAGGCAGAACACAGGTGGCAGCTGACCTTGGCCTGCTCCTCCTGGGAGGCCCCAAAGCCAGTGCATCTAGTAGACAGTTTCAAACCACACCCAAGCACCACCCAACCACCTCCATAAGTGATGCATACTCATTGGGCACCAGAGCCCCACCTAAGTAAGTCCTACTCTGTGGGGTCAGCCCCTACACAGCTGATCCTCTACTGTGGTCACATTCAGTACTCATATCCAATCAGCCTAGGGGTAAATCCCTCCCATTAACATGCCCAACAATATTCAAGGCTCAAGTACAACAGAAAGGTGTACACAGCCCACATGGGGGTGAGGGATGCACTTGAAGCACCCAGCTTGGGTAA